TCGCACACGTACATATGTTACAAAACAATAAACAATAAATTAGAGAAATTTACCCAACTGGGCAACCTAAAGATGTACTTAATTAAATTAGCATGCTAATGCGTAAGTATCATTTTAAAAAAATATAAATAATTAATCGTAAAGAGATAAGTAAAAGCCTCATTGTTTTATAGTCTTTTTTAATAAACTTTACAACTGTTTCGTCTGTAATAACTTATATTTTTCAGGATTAGATAGACAATAGTTATGACAAATTTCTTTAGAAAACAATTACGTATAATATTAAATTAAATTTCTGATGTCTTGTAACTGCTTTCCTTCCCATCATCGAATGCGAGTTTTCTCGTGATTTTCTCAAAAACTACTAAATTATAAATGTTGATTATCAGCGATTCAGTGAGGCCATCTGTAGCTTCTGGAAGATATTTAGTATGTACATATGAGACGTGAAATTATCCTTTATTCACATCAGTAATAAACGGGAAGTTTTTTTATGAATTTCACTCATTGGTAAGCTTCTTTTGAAATACTTTTTAAATACATACCTAAACAAATAAAAAATGCTCTGTAATGCTTCAGAAGGTTTAATATAAAATTAGTTTGAATTTTTTCAACTTCTTTAGTATTTTTCAAGAGTATAATATACTTTGAAATCATACTTGAGCATGATTAAATATTTTTGGAAGTTTTTGTTTACCAATTAACCACCTTTTAAAAGAAATAAAAATAATAATGAAGAAGTAAAATGTGAAAATAATCATCATTTTTTCTGATTATAATAATGCTTAAAAATCAATATACAAATGAATCTAATAATGATGCTTTTATAATCTTTGCCTGGTCACTCTAAGGTGTTTCGCAGTTAGAATTTGCTTCTGTAAGAATGGATATTAATTGCACATTACGTAGTTATAACATGTAAGGTATTTGTTTCCATTCGTTTTTCGAACTTGATTCTTTAAAACATAATAGATAGGGTGTGTATTTGCGTGACTCGTATTATATTCAATCTACATAATTATTACAAAATATAAAAATACCTATTTTTATCTTGCATTTAAATAGTTTTTTGAGAAAAGCATTTTGTATTTCATTTAAAATACTTTTCCAAACCTATTTTCTATTTGTAAAATGCAAAATACATTTTTGCTATTAAAAGTTTTGCTAGTATCATCGATCAAGCTACAATATAAAATGATGAATGAATAAAGTTGCTCACATTGGCAGTTGAAGGTATTAGAAGCTTAAAAAGTGAACAAAGAGACATTCTATGAATGTCTTCTAATTCTTTAACTGAAGAGAGCCCAAAAATTCTAAACTTTTTGGAAATGTATAATCTAAAATATTGGATCGATATTTTTTTTTGGGTTCAATGTCATGGTCCATGGAATTTTAAAGTTCTAAATTGATATCAGCACCTGCAAATCACCCCTTATCGTACCTGTAGCAAGGAACTACGAAATTCTATCAATTACGACAAAATATTGATTAATATACGACAGTTGTGTAAAACCGAAAACTACAAGATATTGTGGTGTGCTAATAAATGCGTATAATCCAAAATCCTTAGAAAACGATTCGAAAAACTTCACTTGTTAGATGAATCCAAAGCTCAAAAAACTATGTATTCCATTTCTTTCTCTTATTACAATGTGTAAAAGATCGGAAACAAAATGGGATTGTAAATATTTTATATAGAATGATTGATGTTGATCAATAAAATTATTTGCAACACTATTTTGATTGTGATCATTTACACTAAACAAACTACTTTGGCATCAGTGCCTTTTTTCCAATTAAAACGGGTGACAAGAAGAATTATTTGTTGCTAAACTGAAGAAACTATAATACAAAGATAGAAAAACTATATCTCAATCATTTTAAACAGAAAAATATAAATCATACTTAATCTTTCAAGCTGATGATACAGTACAAAAACCACTATAAGTCTAGAAAAACGCAAATTTTTAAAAAATGAGGAAATGCCTGCAAGGTTTTCGTAAAATTAAATAAATACTACAAAAAAGTATTTATTTGAAAAAATTATTTTGAATATTCGTATTGGGCATTTAGTACTTAAAAGACAAAGTATAGAATAACTTCAGAAAAGACTGCAGAATCTTCTGATGACAATTGTTTTGCCGTTGATAATAAAATAAGCGACATACGTTAT